TTTAGGTGCTGGACCAGGATCCAATTAACTTGCTGAACGCTTGCGATTGTCAAACAGAATCCATTTTTCATTGCAGGTAGCAATATGGTTCAAATTCTTTCGTTTTTGTGCCTGTTGATCAGTGCAAGGCTCGTCTCGACGCGTACTTCGCGTTGGCAATCATTGAGGTCGTGAGGCACCCATTTTCAAGCTTTTTTACTTTGCCAATTTGACGCAAATGGACTAATATTGTTTTCATGCTAACGTCGAAAGCTGCTGCTAATTCAGTCGTAGTTTCAGTATCATCAGCTTCCACAATCGCCTTTATTTTCTCATTGTCGACTAAAGTTTTCGGACAACATGGAATTCATTTTTCAGGTCGAAATTTTCAGAACGGAAGCGGCCAAACCAATAACAGGTGGTGCCTTCGTTTTTGTTAAACGCCGTTGATGTCGCGTGCCGCGTTGCTGCCACGACAGCATTCATATCCATAATTACTCGCATTTTTAACGTATCCATATGACGAAATAGATTTAAATGCGATGAAAATATAACGTTAATCAATAAACAAATGATCAATTTTTAAAAAAAGAATTAAATTTTTTTTAATAAAATTAATTTGAAATTAGAATTCTTAGCCAAACAAAAATTATTTTGATTTGAAATTGCCAGTACTGCAGAACGGCAATTTCATAGGTAAAGACCTAATATTCAATCAATTTTTAACAGCGCTTACATGTAAGAATTCCTTTTACATAGTTATAAATTACTATGTAAACGGTGGTCTGGTCTTGATTTCTTCGCACCTGGCATATAATTCTGATTGGTTAAATACTTATCTTATAAGCAAAGAGTTCGGCTTTCTTAGACTTTGATTCAGATACATTTCAGGGTTCCGCAGTCATATAACTATTAACTCTTAATAGGGTTTATGATTCCATTATAAGTTATGTGTATATTTTTAAACGTAATGTATTTTTTTTAATTTCACAATCACAACATTCAAACTTTTTTTTTTTCAATATTCCATATCGAGTTGTTCACCAGAAATAATAAATATTGTGCGTTATCTGTAGTCAGAGTCGTGGTTCAGTCAAATTCTGCATTCAGGTCTAACCTATATGATGTATGTCCTATACGGACTATGCCATTTTTTGGTTGTTGAAATACTCCACCATTTCCAAAATGAAATAACATTTTCTTGTCCTACTAATTCTTTATCGATCCGTATAAGACCACTGCTGGCCGTGGGCTTTCGTCTTTGTAGGCAGAATTTAATCATTTTTAATCGTTACGCATTGCAAGTGGATTGATATTATCTACTAGGCTAGCTTAGCCATACATTCGTTCAGAACCGATTTAAATTTATATCCTAAAAAGTCTTGATACTCGTAGTATGAGATTAATCAATATCAAATAGACCTACCCATTTTACGAAGCCTCGTTGAAAAAATTAGAAAGAATCCTCTCTTTCTTTAAGAACCTTTGATTAAAACTTTCATTGCCTAAAGCTCAGCAAACGTATAGTAAATTGATTTGATTTTGGAATGTTAACTGGCATTGTTTTGCAAGAATATAATTAATGAATTAAGGTGATTTCATTAGGGAGTCCAAACTCGATGATAATTATGAACAATTAAGAACAGTAAATTTAATGAGTATTGGAACGAAGTTCTTTATCAGACGGTACAGGTTTGGCGGATGGGAGCTAGGCGACAAAAAATGTAAGATTTTTTCGTCACTACCCCTTGTGTCATAGTGTAGACGACCTTGGCGACGAAATAAGGAAGTGAGATGGAATAATATCCATCTCCCTCGCACTTTTTCTTATCTTGCCATGAAATAAATATAATTTTATTTCAAATGACGCTTCATTTTAATAGACACTAGTAATTCTTTATTTGTATTTGTTAATCAATAATATAATACCTACGTTAATCTATAATAATATACTACGCAACGGACTTCGTTCCAAACGAGTGTTCCACGACACTCACGCATTTTTATTATTAATACAGCTCTTCATGGCTATTCTTCTTTAAATAATAAAACTAAAAGGAAAATGTATGATGTTCAATCATCGATCTTTTTAAAACCTTGCTCATTAAATCAAATCATTCTTATAATAAACTTTCTATTGATATGTGATTTTATTACTACACACATACAGAAATATAATATTCCTATGTGAAGGAAATTGCACCAATTCTGACATATTTAATAAACCTTTTTTCCGATCACATTGATACCCATTCTGTAAAAATATTTGAAAAAGCCATGCATAGTCGAATTACTAGTTTTGTAGCAAAATATTATATACTCAGAAACGAACAAAATGGCTTTCAAAAGCATAAATCTACTACACTTGCTATCTTTTCACTTATAATATGTATAATTGAATATATTAATAATAGAGTACCAATAATAGCCATCTTTTTTGATATTTCTAAAGCCTTTGACTGTGTAGAATACAGCGTATTGTTGTAAAAATGAGAAAAACTAGGAATCAGAGGTCCGGGCTTGTTAGGGCAAATCAACAGACGGACACAGAGCTAAGCACAGAGTTTCTGGCTTCCTAAGCCAGAAGAAATGTATTCGTGCACTGTGTAACGTAGGCCCTCTTTAGTGCTGTAGACCCCTGTTTAAGGAATAAAATATTCTCACTTTAAATCAGGCGTGTCACTTTGTAAAAATCTGAGGTATGGAAAATGGTGGCGCGATTTTCAAATTTGTTCGCATTACTCGTGGGGTATTAAGGTTTAAGAGTTTGCAGTGTATATACTCAACTTATTTATTGAACTATAAGATGTGGGGTATTGAGGTTTAAGGGCTTGCGATTTATTTATATGGGGTTTGTAGTAATATGCGATTTATTTCCTAATTTCAGCTATGGAATTCCATACCTTGAAAAACTTGAGGTATGGAGTGCTCCATACCTTCCATAGTGGAAGTGACACCCCTGCTTTAAATGGGTTGGATACTCGTCCGTACGTTACTCACTAGAGGGCGCACTGACAGCCAACTTTGTGGATAACACCACGAAATAATGCTGAGTGTATCCCTTTTATACCAAACACATAATAAAGCTTTGATTGTATTGATTCCATTTATTTAGGTTTCAGTTTTCTTTTGGTCTGGAGTTATAAGTTTTTTAGTGTATAATAATTTAATCCTTTGTAACATCTGTGTTGGGGTTTGTTGAAATAAGTAATATTTCTTTCTTTTTTTCATTTATTTTAGTCGCCTCTTACGACACCCACGTGTGAACTGTTTTCCTTCACCACCGAGAAAATGGTAAATCGACTGATGTGCGTGTCGTGAGTGATGTCATATGTGAATGGATGATGTCGGCGTGGATCTAATTTATGTTGCTTACGTACTATGAAATATAGGTTTCGATCGGTTCAATTACTGGCTTTGACAAGACACTTTCAAAATTCAAATAAACCTGTGTTTAAGTAATATCTGCTTTCTAGATATTTATAGTATTAGTATGTGAGCTAAGAAACCTGAATCTTAATATGTCTAGAAACTATAAAATAAACTATATAACTTAAATGACAAATTAGTCTCATTAAAAGTAAAAAAGTAAAGTAGCAGCTTACATAAGTCTCACGACTGTGCATAGGGCTCGTCATTACCTAGTGTTTTGTGAGCAGAAAACAGTCCGCTGAGCTTCAATTCGTTTTCACATGTCTACGAATTTTGTAACGACACTAGTGATGAAAAATAACATCTAGGCCCCACAAAGTCATTCTTCATTACTTCACCGAACACGTAGTAAGTCAGCATATAAAATTTCATAAACCAGTTTCATTGGTCTTCGCGGGTATCGTACTCATTTTACTCCTGTGAAATGATACCTTATGGAGAGCTACACGGATTGCATATTTGCTTAAATAAAATTAATAAAAACTGAAATGAAGCTTTTGCATGTTTGTGGATCACACCTACCTAGTAACTAGGCATCCAATGATGCCACGAACTATTCCATCACTTCATCGAAATAAAAATCTCTCTGTATGTCGAAAGACAAACAGACAAAACACAGTTCTGTGTACACAGTATCTACAATTCTTACAAGAACGAATCTTACGGCAAGCTACGGCTCTTGCATTTCTGCTGCCAGCAGAAACATTTGTGGACTCCCATTGCGTTAAATCATCCCTATAATAATGTCCTCTACACCGAATTTCGCTTACGGCTACTAGTCTCAACGAAAACTAGCTATCTGCCTAGGATAAGATTATGGTGGCCGAGTTTATGCGCAAGCACAGGTGCACTGTCTATTCCCTCACTCTCATAGTCCGATGGGACGGTAACCTGATACGAACGTAGAAAAATAAGGCGCAGGAAAGGTCCTGCGCCTTATATAAGGACATTACGAGCTTGCTGAGACACAGGTGTAAAACAACGCTATTTTCTTGACTCCGGCTGCTACCGAAAATTTCTTTACAGAAAAACCTAATAACTGATTTTAGCTCAGCCCAGAATTCGAACCCGGGACGTCATGATCAGCAAACGCGTTTACGAGCACTAGATCAATGAGGCAGTCACTGTAGGTATATCGAAGTGCTGAAGAGTTTGTACAGTAGAACTACGATGGTTATCCGCGTACAGAACTAGAGTATGAAATCTATTTAACTGCACAGAGGTGTAAGAAAGGGTGACGTTATATCCCCGAAATTCTTCACCGCTGCATTGGAAGACGTTTTCAAGCTAATGAACTAGAAAGGATACAGTATTAACATCAATTGTGAGTACATCGCTGAAGGACCTGAGCACTATGTACGATATTTGAAACAGAAATTTCACACATGTGTGCTTGTCTGTATAATTATATAACAAACCCGTGGATACAACGTAGTGACTTCTGTTTCCTAGTATAATAATCTATGAGATAGATATAAAATAATGTGTCTATGAGTATCAATGGTAAACGTCAAAATGTCACGAAAAAATAACTAATCTATACAAAAGCGCTTATATATTTATTTACATTTTTGGTACAAGATTCTAAAATGGAAGAAAAACCATTATTCGGTGCATTGACTGTCTATCGAGAAAGAGGTGCACATTTACGTCGACTAGAACAATTTGAAAAAGCGAAGGCTTCTTATGATGAGGCTTTCAAAAGTGCTTCTGAGGATGTGCGAACACTAACCGGCCGTAGCCAGGTATGCTCAGATGCTGTCCAACCAGTTCAGGCCTACTCAGATGCCGAACTTGCACTTAAGTTAGAACCTTCTAATATGATAGCTCGTAATATGCAAGCTCGTGCTATGTATACTATGTCTGATTTTGAGCGATCTGTGGTAATGAACTACCGAGGGGCTCGAGTTCGACGTCAACCGCCCTACTTTACGGAAGGTATAAATCAAGGCATAGAAACTATACAAGACTGCATTGGAGTTAATGCTGGAAATGTGATGGTTGATTTTTTACCTTTAATAAAACAATCCGAAGTTGCTATCATTGATGAACATGAACCTCAAAAGCAATCACATATTTCCCGCATCCCACATCCGGAGAGTAAACGCAAGTTGACTCAAATGGAAGCTCGTAAACACGCTATGTTGGCCCGTGTCCTTGCTATGAAGTATTTGGGGCCAATGGCTTATGACAAATTTTTTCTTCAGCGACTAGCAGAAGACCCACGACTACAATCAGCTAACTCAAAAGGTAGTATCCTATTAAAGAATATTGTAAAGGAAGCGCTCCGCTCTTTAAGTGAACGACAGGAAATGCTAAGAACACAAAGACCATATTATACCATTAAATTATCGGAAAAGGCTGAATCTAAACATCAAAACAAATACAAAGAAGAAATACTTATCAGAGAACGTGAGATAGGTGCACGAAGTGCTGAGCTTCTTTTAAAACAAATCGAAAAGAGTCTGCGAGAGAAACGTATTATGGACTTAATGTCGTATGCGGAACGTCTACAAACTTTCCTTGACTCAAAGACTCCGCGTACGTTACCAGATAAAGAGATCTATATAGACCGGTTATACAGAGCAGTTGGAGAAGGTTATCTATCACAGCATCGCCTTTCGTACAGACTAAGTGAACGGGGAAATAGAAGACGTATTGCTTTTTTAATGGGTCTTCCAATTGGTCGTCCAACATCCTTCGACTCTGTTTTAGGAAATTATCCTCACAAGTTTATTGATGTTAAACAAGCCACAGCTAAAGTGTCGACGGCTTTAGAAATGTGCGAAAACTCTACTATGAAATGTTGGTTAATGTACGAACTAGCTAGAATGCTTTCAACACAAAAAAATTACGCCCTTGCTAAGTTCTATGCTAAACGATGTCAGCGAGAGGCGCAGGAAATAGGCAATGCGACGTGGTGGCTAAATGGACTCTTTGTCTTAATGAGTGGTGACATGCAACAAGGTAATGCTAATGAAGTACGAATTCAAGTTGAGGAAGCTTACGAATACTCTAAAAAGCTACAAGACCCAGAACAAGTACAGGCCTTCCTAAGTAAATGCGCCGAGATGGTCTCAGATGCAGTTACAGCGGATGAACGTAAAGCTATTGAGCAACGACAGAGACAAATTGTAAAGATAATGGATGAGTCTCAACGCGTAGAAACTCAAGTATTATTTAAGCGTATGTCTACAGTGCCACAAGGTAGAAGATTCTCTGTGTTACCACAAAAACAAGAAGGTGGAGAATTAAAATCAGAGCGACGGCGTCGACGTCAACGAGGTCTATCTGTAATACCTGGACCAGAAAAAACGTTAGCACCAGCACCAAAATCGAATACTCCTGGATTTCAAATATTTGATGTATAATGTTTATTTTTAGAAAAACTTTGTATTTAAATTAAATATAACATTTTATGTAAATTTTGTGCAATAAAATTTCACTCTTTATTTTTGTTTAATTTATAATCCAATGCACATATTTATCTTTAGTTAAAAATAAGATATCAATTTAATAATTTCGCGGGTGTATTAGAAAAAAAACATTATTTGTAAAAAAAAAATATTTTGTATTATTTACATCTTGATGTTCAAGTCATTATAAATCAATGGTGGTAAATGGGAGCAGAGTATGCGAATGGTGTGGGATGGCTGAGTGGACCGGCATATACCACGGGGGTAGCAGCGTAAGTGACGGGAGCAGCAATCTTAGCGATGGGAGCAACTGCAGCCACTTTCACTCCAAGAGCCTCCTTACGGACGACCGCGTTGAAACCATTGTGTGGGTTAGCTGTGTAATCAACGGTACGTCTGGTGCCGTCAGAGTCAACAAGCGAGTATGAGCCTTGGACAACATCTCCATCACGAGTCTCGTGCTGTGACTTAAAGTCACCAGTGTGTCCATCTTGTACATTGTAGGCAAAGCTATATTGAGGGTGGGCGTCGTAATCTTCAACTGCAACTTTGGCAATGGGTGCCGCATAAGTTATAGGCGCAGCGTGAACCGCGTGAGTAGAATAGGATAAAGGCGCTGAGTATGCAAAAGGCGCTGAAGAGATAAGTCCGGCACTAGCAGCTGCAAACAAACAGCTGAAGACGATGATCTGTAACAAATATTTCTTTAAACAAATAGTAGATACTATTAAAGATATAATCATTAAATGCTATTGATAACATTAAATTATTTATTATCTTGAAATTCATATAATCTCAGGTAAAATAATGATAGTGAATGGAATATAATGAATTTTTGGCACATTGTTACAAATTTGTATTTGGATATTCAATATAACTCTTATTTATTTTTGAAATTTCTACTGATCAATTTGGTCAGACATAATTCAACTACATTCCGAGGAAAAAAACTATATTACAACTAGCTGACCAGGCAGACGTTATTCTGCCCTTTCCGACGACCATTTGCTTTCCTAATAAAAACTCCTGAAATTACCAATAAAAAAAATTGAGGGTCACTTATCGGGATAAACACTATCCTATCTCTCAAGTTGGACCAAACTGCACACAGTGTGCAAAATTTCATTAAAATCTGTTCAGTAGTTTAGGAGCTCATCGCGGACAAACAATGTGACACGTAATTTTTATATATAAAGATTAAAAATTACTTAGCAAATGATTTCATAAGCTACCTTGAATGCCATTTTTGATTTGTAGTAGTGTTCAGCAATGGAATCGGACTGCTGAATCGAGAGCATGCTCTCATTTTATATACGTCGTTTATCCAGTTATGGCATTCAGTCCAGTGTGACGCATGCAATGTGTCCAAGCAATTGATATCTGTATTAGGAGGAGCTTTTTGAACTTTCGCTTTTAAATGAAAAGTGTAAGCCAAGGTTGAATTCTTATGCAAAATGCAGCCGCGCGCGATATGGAACCGTACCTAATGCTATATTGTTATTCCCATCATATTTTTCATATTTTCTTGTTCTATACTACTTTCTTCAACCGTTATCATCTTGTGTTTTTATTTTTTAAGTTAATTGTATAATTTATTTACAGCTCTCCCTAACCATTCATTTTAAACAATTCTTTACGTAATAAGGTTTACTCGAAGAAATCGGTTACAGAGCGATAAGACCGGCTATTGTAACTTCTTCAATTATTTTTTTAATGTGTATTGATATACAATAAAGAATGTGTTGTTAAATTTAAAACTGCATAGTAATAGTTTATAATTTTATAATACCTTTCATACCCTAGGTTTAGCGTTAGAGGTTGTGCATCCAAAAAAAACTTTAATGTTTTTTATAGGAGAGGGGCAAACGAGCATGCGGCTTACCTGATGGTAAGTGACTACCGCCGCCAATGAACAACTGCAACACCAGGGGAATTGCAGATGCGTTGCTGGCCTATTAAAAAGTAGTAGGATCTTTTCTTGAAGGTCCCTAAGTCGTATCGGTCCGGAAAAATCGCTGGTGGTAATCTTTTTCTAAAAACTTGAACGTGGAAAACTTCTTCTAAATTGCACAGTAGTGGACCGCCAATGATATGATCCAGATGATATGGATGGTATCGCGAGTTTTGTCGCGATGTGCGATGGTGAAATTGAGCGGCTGGAATTAGTCCGAACATTTCCTCAGAGCACTCCCCGTGATAGATGCAATAAAATACGCAAAGAGATGCAACATCTCTACGCAGTGCCAATGAGTCAAGCCGATCGGAAAGAACTTAGTCGACGACAATTCGAAGCGCTCTGTACTGGATGCGGTCAAGTGGAAGGAGCTGACACTGGGGAGCTCCTGTCCAGAGATGGGAACAGTATTCCATGTGAGACCGAACCTGCGCCTTGTAAAGTTGCAAGCGGTGTGCCGGCATGAAATACTGTCCCGCTCTGCTGAGCACGTCAAGCTTTTTAGAGGCCAATTTGGGCTTCTCTTCCCAGTGACCACGAAACTGCACGTCACTCGATATGTCGACACCGAGGATTCCGATACTGGCCCAGGCAACAAGGGGAGTGCCCTGAAACTAAGGAGATACGACAAAGGGGTTCCTTTTAGCGGTAAACACGCAAACTTATGTCTTCTGGGGATTGAACTGGACTAGATTTATTCGCCCCCAGTCTGAGACTTTGTTCAACAAAGTCTCGACTTCAGACACAAGTTTGTTCCGGTACTCGACAACGTTTCCCGAGAAATATTGGCACGGCCGATGTATAGAACATCACCAGTGCTGTCATCCGCAAAGCAATGGATGTTACCGGTTTGCAACATATCATTGATATGCTTATGCATATATGAAGAAATAGCGTTATAAATCATAAATCATTATTTGCAAGAGTCACGGTATAAAAAGCTGTTACAATTTATATAGTGCAGTCATGTTTCGCTAATAATAGCATGCAAATTATAATTTTAAAATGTTTAGACAATATTAATAATTATTTAAACCTAAAATATCTTTTAAGTCATTAAAGCATTCAATTTTTAACCAATCATAAAAATGTTTCTTATATAGTCGTTGGTGATAGCACGCAACCTTCTGGAACACAGGCGTTAATGGGCTTGTAAGTGGAGCATGTACCGTCTACTACGACTTTGATGCTCCGATCTGCAAGAAAACTGGTGATACAATTGCACGATTTCTCGGGAAGCCCATAGGAAGACAGCTTCGAAAGAAGTGCTTTGTGCCAAACCCGATCGAAAGCCTTCGCTATGTCCAAACTAACGGCCAACGCCTCCCCTTTAGACTCCACTGCCTCCGCCCATCTATGAGTTAGGTAACCCAGAAGGTAACCAGCTGAGCGACCTCTACGGAAAACGTACTGGCGGACATTAATCAGCTGGTGATCCTCAAGGTACCGCATGAGCTGGCTGTTAATAATGGCTTCCATTACTTTGGAGAACAACGAGGTGATAGCGATAGGCCTATAGTTGGACGGATCTGACCGGTCTCCTTTTTTAGGGATCGGGTGCACCAAAGCTGACTTCCATGAGTTCGGGACTACGCCTAGGGAGTAGGAGTACCGAAAAAGACGCGTTAAAACCGGTGCCAACTCCGGAGCACACGTCTTCAGCACAATAGGTGGGACTCCATCAGGCCCACTCGACTTGTTGACATTCAGGGAGAGGAGTGCTTTACGCACCGAGCGCTGTATAAACAGTACTTCCTGCATGGAGCACTCACACCGCGTGATGGTCAGCGGTATGTTCCCCTCGTCATTTAGAGTCGAGTTGGAAGCAAAAAGAGAGCCTAGCAGATCGGCTTTCTCCTTTGCGTCATGGGCCAGTGAGTTGTCCACCCTGTGCAGAGATAGCAGAGATGGCTGACAGAAGTTCACTTGGACAGTCTTAACGAGAGACCAGAATGCACGTGTTCCCGAAGGGAGGCGAACTAGTTTCTCGCCAATTCTGCCGATGTGCTCTGACTTTGCCTTGCCAGTGACACTTTTGAAGGACCTGGAGGCGGAACTATACTTCTTTTTAAGAGTGCTGGTGTTTACATCCCGGGACGTTGATGCGTCAGCCCAGACCCGGTAGCACTCCTCCTTATAGCGTGATGCTATTTTATAGGAGTGACCAAACCATGGCTGGGATCTGCCTCCGATGGGCACCACAGAGGATGGAATAAAAAATTCCATACCCTGAAGTACTACATCAGCAACAGAATCGGCAACAACGCTGGGATCTTCCGGCAAGAAGCAAACCCGCCCCCAAGGGTAGGATGCAAAAAAACACCGCATCCCGTCCCAATCGGCCGACCTATAGTGCCAAACACGAGCGTGAGTGGCACCATACTCTGGATCAGACAATGGTCCGAAGAGCCCAGAGGGGCATCGACGGAGACCTGATATACGTCCGGATGAGAGGTCAGCATAAGGTCCAACAGGGAAGGTACATGATTCTCCACATCTGGGATTCGCGTAGGCGAATAACCAGTTGTGTTAGACCATATACCAAGGCAAAGTCATACACAGATCTACCCGCATGATCGGTTAAACGGGAACCAAGCCATTCAGCGTGGTGGGCGTTAAAATCACCGAGTATCACGATCTCTGCGGATGGGATCTGTTGTAGCACGGAGTCTGCAGCCATGTGGACGTAGTCGATGAGTCATTCTGTATCGGCATTACTGCTATGGGACCTATAGAGGCACCCGTAGACGCGGAGATGGTCGTCGTTGTCTACGCGCAGCCATAGGATGGACAGGTCCCTATCTTCAAGACTGCCGAGGCATCGAAAACAGATGTCCCCTCTGAAACGCAAACTCCAGCTCGGAGCATAAAGGAGTGTTCAAATTTGTACCCCGGGTAGGACAGATATGAAGTATCAGCCGGAGAGGACACCTGAGTCTCGGTTAAAAAGAGCAAGACCGGCTTCGCCATCTCTAGATGGTAATACGAGTACGTGTTACTAAGTTTCTAATCCAAAGCTCATAAGTGTTGTCGTAGATAGAATTAATGGCTGAATTTCAAATAATATTCCATCTTTAATTTTACCTCTTTAAGGGTAGAATTGTCAAAAATATTGAAACACGTGTCTCTTACATTTTAATCTCAAGCCTAAATACAACTTTTTCTCGTTCCACATTTTAAGGGGTGAATAGGGGCAGATTTCATTAAGTTCGAACATATGTATAGGTACTATACATAACCACAATAATTTCATTTTATGTGTATCCACACCACCACAAGAATTTTTCACCACACAAATATGAAACTGCCCTATAAAATAAAAAGTTTCGCAGTTCAATTTAAAATCCCTTCTTAGTGGATGCCAATATAATAAAAGGCAGCTATATTGTCACAAGTTCATGCTTCTACGTCCAGCGGTTTCAGCTATGCGTCATCTCAATATTTTTCATATACAACTTGCACCCTCGTTTTAAAACCTGGTATATTTAAAAAAAAAGAAAAACTCAGAATTTTATTATTTTAATTCAGGAGTATATCCCTTCATTAGTCAACAAAAATGGCCGATATACATCGATATTCAGAATTTAAAAAAAACATTAATTCATTTTTCTATACACCTTAAAGTTGTTTTGAAAATCTCAGAATACGTTGTCATTTATTTTATTTAAGGAGTATTTTCAGTAAATCCCAAGTAACAAAAAGTTTCAATAAATTTGGAACATCCTTTTTCCCCCTCTTAAGTGGTGAATTTCTCGAAATCCTTTCTAAGAGGATGCGTACGTCATAAAACGTAGCTACTGTCTGTAATTTCAAATTTCTATTTTCATTTGTATAAAATCGTTGGTGTGTGTGTTAATTATCGTAAAACTTTTGAACGATTTCACCGATTGAAGTCATATTCACACAAACCTTTTGCGATCATAACTATGCTAGGATCTGATAGGTGGCGCTGTATTCGAGTTATAAATAATGTTATATACTGAAAAGGACAGATCAACGTCTCCCAGGCTAGCTTGTATTTAACTTTAACTCCAAATCAAGACTCACTTTCACTCACTCTTTCATACATTTTGTACATAGTGCAAATTATATAAAATGTTATTAATAGCTCAACCACAACACCACCCATCGTGTTTGGCTTTCCTTTTTTTTCAGGTTCCGTAGTACAGTGGCTAATTTCCAATTCCTATATTCAAGTTACTTTTCGTTACCCGTAACGATAAAAGTTTCATGTTAAAACCGTTTATAATACAGACTATTCAAGCAATAAGCAACTTAGGATGACTTAAAATTAAAAATTTTGACGGCTCCGTGGCGGAGTGGCTTAGCAATCAGTTGTTGCGCTGGTGGCCGCGGGTTCGAATCCCGCACGGAACAAGTATTTGTATGGCCTACAAATAATTGTTCCGGGTCTGGATGTTTGTCCTTGTGCAATTTATGTTTGTAAACTGCCTCCACGACACAGGAGAAAATCCTAGTGTAGGGGTAACGTTTTAAAAAAAAACTTTAAACGGGTCATAAAAATGAGTATTTGAACTAGTATTTCGTTTTAAAAAGAAGTTTCTATGCACATCATTTACTACAAAACGGCTAGTAAAATAAAATGAAGCGTTTGAAATAGGTATAGAAACCCCGAATAAGCGTTTGTTCGCGGTGCTGCGATGCCGCGGGTTCAAATCCCGTGCAGAACATGTTGTGCCTCCATGTGCAATTTATGTATGTGAACCGCATACAGTCTTTTAAACTATTTATATTTTATGTATTTTCATCGAATTTTTGAAAGTTATCAATGCCACAGGCAATATTTTAAACTAACACAAAAGGACTCACTAGTCCTAAACCCACCAGTATAATGTTTACTAGTTATAATATTACTAGTTATTCAGGGTAGTAATAAAATAAACTTTCAATTCAATTCATTTCATATTCATAAATAACATTGATATAAAAAGCCTTAGTAAACATAATAACACAACAAAATTGTAATAATTCATCTAGTAATAGTAGTAGGGGCTGGGTAATCTAGGTGCTAAGTAGGGCGCAGGGGCAGGAGCTAAGTAGGGCGCAGGGGCAGGCGCTACTAAGGGAGCACGAGCGAGCACTGGAGCTGGCGCTAACGGAGCGGGGGCGACAACCCTAGCGGGAGTGGCAACCACAAGAGGTTCACGGCGGACGACCGCGTTAAAACCATTCAGCGGGTCAGCAGAGTAGTCGACGATCCTTCTAGTGCCATCAGGGTCAACGACTGAGTAGGAACCGGTGACTAAGTCACCATTTCTGTTCTCCTGGTGACCTTTGTAGTCACCGGTTAGAGAATCCTGCACGTCATAACCGTAGGAGTATTGTGGTAAGGCGTCAACGCGGGCGGCGACGACAGGGGCTGGGGCCAGGACGCTAGCGCAGGCCACGCCGAACATACAGATGAATATTACAATCTGGAAAAGAAAAATTATGTTATTAATAGATTTATAACTTTAAAAATATTAAAATTTTATCTTTATGATTTTTATACCTGTATACTCGTATGTTATCAAATATCGTAAAAAGTCGACTGTAAGTGACTTACAGTTTATTAATGTGATAAAAGCAAGATTTTAAGGTGTTTTAATGTATCTTTCATTCATAAACATGCCATATATTTAATATAGCAGAAACCGTACATTTTTCTTTTTTTAGACATCCATTGCTATTCAGTTTCAATCGCAGCAACATTTAATTCAGCTTATGGTAAGGTAACGACAACAATGAGAAAAAAAATTGGGTTTTGGATCTATTTTGATCCCGGCGTATATTGGAACACAGACCATTTTTTTTATAAAATAAAGGTGACAAACGAGCACATAATCCACATAACTGTAAGTGGATACTGTGTCTACGTCTTTCCTCAATTAACCTTATTAATCACCCGCGAGGACGATGAAATGACCGAGGATGGAATGCGTCGCTTACAGTAAAAAGGGTCTCCAGGTTACTACTCACCATAAGAAACACAACAGTATTAAATTACTATGTTACAGTTCAACCGATCTATTTGTTCTATAACCTTTAATAGATGCAATATGTATACAGAGTTTGTCTGTCTGTCCGGGTAAATCTTCGAAATGGCTGTACTGACTGTGATAAAACTTTGTGAACAGATAAAATGCCAGAATGCTATATTTTATTCCAAAAACTTAAGGTTTCATGTGAAATCGCAAAATTGATAAAATAAATGGTCTGTTATTAATCTGTCATTAGTCTAACACAAGATCACAATTTCATATACTTAATATCCTTCACATAGAGCTTAAATTTATCTCAATATACTTTTTAATTCAATAGTTTCTGACTTTATTTTTTTACTTACTAATACAAAATGTCTTTACATTGCGTAATATCAATTGACATAGCGTGGTCTATAACCAAGTGCATTGATATGCGCGACTTGTTTATGCAAGCCGAATATGTCCAACTTGCGACACATTGATGTTCGAAAAGAAAGGGACACTTATCGTAACTGCTTGCAAATGGAATATTAAATTGATAAAAGATTTTATCAATAAAGCCACAGTCTATTTTCAAAACTGACCTATTGATGCGTACTTTATCAGTTAAAAATAATTTAATATGGATTTAATGTAACACAAACTGTTCTAGGAAGCGAGCAAGACGGGTTCAATTCCCACCAAATAAACACACTGAAATTATAAACTGAAATTGTTAACAATTTTAACATACTGTGAGGAAACCTGCAAGACTGAGAAATTAAAATAAATTATTTCAAAGACATATTATGACGTTTGCCAACACTCATTGGAGCAGCGCAGTGGACACTTCCTTGCCCTAAAACTAAAACCCTTTCAGAAATGAGAGGAAGCCAGTGCCTAGGAGTAGGATTGAGTGACAAAAGCCATAACTTTACTTCTTATTTAAAAATGGATGGGTTTTAGATTTCATACTTTTATTAAACGTGGTAGAAAAACATACTTTCCTAGCTACAAGTAATATTAAAGTGATTTAACATCTTCTAATATTTGAGGTCGTGAGCGCTATCATTGATTATATATTTCCGTCGTAATAGTAAATTATATTAATCGATTCATTTATTTAAAAAAAAAATGTATAAATAAATTTTAAATTATAAATAATTTAATTGGGAGTATTCGGTTCTTATATTATCACTTCAAGACCAAATCAGGAACGTCTTGAAAAAAGGCCAGGTCAAGAGCACCCTAAACCGTAGAGCATGTATGAAGAGAATATTGAAAGTGGACGAAGCGAAACAAGTATGTAAGGATCGTAGCAAGTGGAAAGAAGTGGTCTCTACCTACCCCTACGGGAAAGAGGCGAGATTATATGTATGTATGTTATATTATTTATTTTATAAATCAAATGCTACTGAAAATATAAATTATTAGCTGTTACAATATAAATAAATATACAAGCTTTTTTACGAAAATAAATGACTAAGACAATTTAAAAGAACTTAATAACGGACTGCGTTTAAATCTTTTGTACTAGAACAATTATAGACGACCAGCTGACATAACCAACTTGGATATTTTTTTACTTGTACGTAATGTCTATTAGTTTTTTTTTTAATCTTTGTTATTGTTATTACTTTGCAAAACACTTTACTAAGACTTTAAACCAAAATTTCTAAGAGTTTCACCGCATACATACAACATACCTAATTACGGTCTTTTATAGTAATGAACAGCTCCTTTGAAATGTCCAAAAGCTGAACGTCGTCCAATTGTTATATTCCTGACTCAGACCGAAACGAAAGTGTTGGAAAGACGGTGTCGTAAAGCGTCCCGGTATGGGATGTTAGTCAATCTACTGTCACGCGCCAAGCGACTCGATGTTATCATGTCTTGCACGTCTACAATAAACTTGTGTACCGAAATTATTGCATGATAACACATTAAACTATTTAAAACTTTTATCATTTAGTCATAAATAATAGCATCTTAGGTGCAATGCTATATAGTAATTAATTAAAATGCACTTCAAGCATTGGCGTAAACTTTATCAAGTCAATTTCAATTTTTAGTGTTTGCAAAGCACTTTAATTAAATTAAATCAAGATGCTGCTTTTAGGAAGAAATATTTCAATGTTTATAGTTATAAAATAAACAAACAATTGATAGCTGAATTCTGAAACCTAATTTTTGATTAGACAGATTAGAAAATTGCATAATATTATTTCAATTTAGAACAAAATTATCATTCTAATTTGAACCTAAATGGTTTGTTAACTTTTACTCCTCATAAAAGATACGGAACAGTTTTAGTTTTAAAATTAATTTAAAATTTACAACAAAGGTTACTGGAAAGGACTATTGAAACCAGTTAGATATAGAGCTATGCTAGTTTTTTTTATATTGTTTGTGTTACAAGGGTCTAAAGTAAATATTATTAACGTACCTTGGAGTCCATGTTTTTTTGCTTGGGGTTGGATGAGCAGTGCAGAAGTGAACTGTGACTGTCCCGGGTCGCGGCGGCGTTATATATCGTTCACAGCGTAACGCTGGACGTGAGCACAATACTTTGTGGCTAATTGAAGAAAGTGTCGGCTTACGTGAACCACTTGCGATACTCACATGTCTCGTCTTATAAACAAAATGTTTTCTTTATATAGACCACTTGTAATACAATTTAATCAGAGCAGTGAGTAAGTCTTACGCGGCAGTCAAATTGTATGGGCTTTTCTTCACTAAACGCCGAGCTCTTGCCTTGTTTGGAACGTACGATGCATTTAAAATGTTTGCGATTGATGGCATTCGTAAATGGGGTTGTTATAAATTAATTTGCTTAATTCCGCGTAAAGAAAGAAAATGATGTCTCCTGCCCAGCTTTAAGGAAACCTCCCAACCTCCCTCAATCGCGCGCACTATACCCGTCGCCGTTAATCCCAGCACCACCATCCCCAGCACCACCACACTAGGCACGACACACCACTCAGGAAAATACGACACGTGTTTCGCCTCTACACGAGGCATCCTCAGGTGAAGTAGACTCTGCGGAGGCTGGCCTCTAAGTCTTAGGGACACATCATTTTCTTTCTTTACGCGGAATTAAGTAAATTAATTTATAACAACCACATTTTAATGGATTTCCGCAAAGTAACGCCTGATTCTATCAATTGACATTCATAAAATTTCTTACTCTTTTTGTCCCTACGCCTCTAGTTCATAAATTAAATCTATATATGTAAAAATATCTGAAAAAAGATTTTTATTTAGATGAATGTGGGAAAATTTACCGTACATAAACGGAATAATAAATTTTTAGGGTAACACATACGTTTTTAAAATAAAATGCAATATGAGGATCTAGAGCCTTATCGCAACTTGCTCTATGTTTATTTTTAACTAAGAATTTACATTTCTGTTTACCGTTTATAATAAGGTATATATAATGCGAGGTAATTACAGGAATTACCTTCATAGTTCTCACACGCTTATACATTGTAGAGCTACGCTGCAGCTATACAATGGCTACAGCACGCGTAGGTTGCCTCGACCAGAAAAAAACCATCTCTCTCACTTATGTGAGACCAACTTACAATAGTAGCATAATCCCACTGTGTTTCATATGGTTAGTGACAAGAACTGAAGAGCCTTTTTATTTATAGCAAAGCATTTTATACTTGTCTTCGGGGAATTATCTCCCATTTGCATCTGCATTTTGATTCTTTATCGAGGATTGTACGGGCCAAAGGCAAGTGGACTGTATGCTTGTTTACTCTTTTTTTATAATTATAAGCTTACCATTTTTGTATAAAATATGAGAGAATTGTTACAAATAGTATAAATTTTTGTAAGGAATTTTCAACTAGCCCTGTATATATTTATTCCCTATTGTATTCTCAGAATAGAATAGGGAGTTGCAGTATATGAGAAATTAAGCACGGTTTGATTGTACGCGAGAAAACCGAGTTCAATCCGTTCCGGCATTAATACCATTCTTAGTTAAAATTTTAGGTGCTAATTTACTACGAGGCTCAGCAGTAAATGAAAACGTCGTGAGGAATCCTGAATATCTAAGCTTTAAATACATTTTTCGTGAACATAACGTGGTAGAGCCACGCTGTAGCTATATTATGGTTGTAGCACGAACGGGTTGGCTCGACCGGGGTAGGACTCACAGAATATCAGCATAAAATAGCCGCGTTTCGTATGGTGAGTGTAGAGTACCGGATACCGTTTTTACTGGAAACGAGGCATTCCATCTTAGTCCTCAAGGGTGACAACGCATCTGCATTTTGATTCTTAATTGAGCCATTGGTCTGTTTTTGTTTTCATTCTGTATATTATATTAACTTAAAAAAAAAGACTACGATAGATTTTAAGAATAGAAGATACTTATTATTTTATATTATTAATTTTTTTCGTCGTTTATTATTTGGTTGAAGAAAGCTCATTTCAAAACGGTAGTAGATTTAAAAAAATCATTTGACTAATGGAATATTTTCTCACATTAAATAAATAATATTTATTTAATTTCATTTGTTTTGAATGATTGAAATTAATTTGCATTTAGCTTTTCGTGGATTTAACTGTGTGTATTGTTAATTTATTCTTGTAATAAAAGCAACTGGTGATTTTTAATTCCTTTTAATATATATATATATATATATATATATATATATATATATATATATATATATATATATATATGTTTTGTAAATAAATTGTTGAGGTTATAATAATTAGATTTCTCGTCAAAAATGTATGCACCTAAGCCAAAATTATCGGCAGCTGACATCGTTCTAAAATCGATGTCTTTTAAAATCAATTTCGACAAAACAATGTATCTAGTTCATAATTCTTGTCATAATCCGATCAACAATAAAAATCGTCTTCGGTCACAAATTAGGAAAAAATAAAAATTAAATCGAAGTTACTTTAATTAAAGCCTTCCTTAAATCCCAAATATCTAACTTACAATATTTCTAAAATGGTTAAATTAAAGCTTTTGATACCTACCATATCATACTTAACTTTTACCGTTGATCCGTAACAAGGACTTCTGTAGTATATATACAAGTCTTAGACCTTAATGACCATTTGTGTATTTTAAATTTTAATTAAGATGAGTGATTTATTTATGGAATTCTTTGACCTATTTAATAACGATAGTCTAAATAGCAAACTGTAATTAAAAATAAATTGGTTATTTAGACACTGCATTTAATGTGCAAAAGATAAGGTTAACGTAGCAAAAGTGCACAACAAACTCAGTCCTAAGTATACCATATGTCAAGATTTGTCCCGACATGTCAGAAATTTTGAGCTATGGTCCTGTCGAATTTTGAAAATATCAGGCTTTTACAATACTTCAATGAAATATAGTAGATATTTTACGGGGGAGAAAGAAAATATGCGACTTGGATTGATCACGTAAGTAAACAAAATCAATAATTGATTTTTTTATTTTTTCTATAGTAATTAATCGCGTTTTCAACAAAATATCAGGACTTTTCTATGGAAATAAAATTATTTGTCAGGACTTTTCAATTTTCCATATAGCAACCCTCGTCGATCCGGACTTTATGGTTATATTTATTTTTCGGACTGTACGGTTTGTTTTTTTTTTTATACAAGAGGGAGCAAAATGAGAGTGCGCTCAACCTAATGGTAAGTGTCGATCGCTACCCATGAACAATTGCATCACTCCTATTCCGGCGATGATAACAATTACAACAGATTGCTGGATATAATCAATTTTTAAATGTTATGTAATTAAATGATAATATACATTAAAAATATATTTTAAATGCTAACGCATGACATTATCGTGAACTAGAAAACCGTTTAAAAGATCTATGCTATGACTAAAGTGTTACAATTATGTACGGTTGCGTCGTACTCAAGCGTTATTACGCGTTCTTATGCGTTCTGGTTTCCGAGAGACATTTTAGTTCCCGTTCAAGTTTTTTTATAGGAGAGGGGGCAAACGAGCATACAGCTCACCTGATGGTAAGTGACTACCGCCGCCCAGGAACAACTGCAACACCAAGGGAATTGCAATTGCGTTGCTAGCCTATTAAAAGGAGTAATCTCTTTTCTTGAAGTTCCAATCGTATCGGTCCGGAAAAATCTCCGGTGTTAAGCTATTCCACAGAAAGGTCGTACGCGGAAGAAAACTCTTAGTGAAACGTCCAGTGGTGGACCGCCAAGCATCCAGATAGTGTGGATGGTATCGGGAGTTTTGCCGCGATATGGGTTCGTGAAATTTGGCGGCTGGGATTAATCCGAGCAATTCCTCAGAGCACTCCCAGTGGTAATTGCGAAAGAAGATGCAAAGGGATGCATCATCTCTTCGCAGCGCCAGTGTATCGAGCCGATCGGAAAGTACTTGGTCGTCGACTATTCGAGCTGCTCTGCGCTGTATGCAGTCAAGTGGAAGGAGCTGACACTGGAGAGCCCCAACCCAGAGATGGGAACAGTACATGTGAGGGTGAACCTGCGGCTTGTAAAGTTTCAGGAGTTGTGCCGGCATTAAATACTGTCCCGCTCTGCTGAGCACGCCCAGGTTTTTAGAGGCCCATTTGGCCTTATCTTCCAAGTGACCACGATACTGCACTTCACTCGATATGTCGACACCGAGGATTCCAATACTGGCTTAGGCAACAAAGGGAGTGCCTTGAAACTGAGGAAATACGACAAAGGGGTTTTTTTTAGTGGTAAACGCCCCCACTTGTGTCTTTTGAGGATTAAACTGGACTAGATTTAGTCGCCCCCAATCCGAGACTGTTCAGCAAAGACTCGACTTCAGACACAAGTTTGTTCCGGTAAATAACGGTAATAAATTATATATTCAAATTATATGTTAAAAGCAAAAATTTCAATGTAATCTAGATTTTTAATAGTTATTTTAATTGATTTTGACCACGGTAACGGTGACTTTCCGAATATTTACAAAAGATGTCAAATTGCTCAACATAGAGTAGTGCATAGAATTGTTTACTAAAATATAAGAATGAGTGGAAACGGTCTTACCTACGGATCTTGGAGTAACTTATATATGTTATTACTCCAAGCTAACCTAGTACGAAGTGACGACTATAGATAGATAGATAGAAATATAGAAATTTCTTTATTGCACTCAAAACTATTTGATACAAAGGCGAACTTATACCGAAAAGGCATTCTCTGTCAGCTAACCTTTGGTAGTGTGGTGAGAGCTATGGGTAGAGCGTAGAGTATGGTTAGAGGGGTAAAGCCATGCTGCAACTATATTTCTGGTATAGTTGTAACATAAATGTGTTGGCTCGACCGGGGAACGATCACCCTCTCACAGAATACCAGCGTAAAATAGCAGCTTAATTTTGCTGTGTTTTGTATGGTGAGCATAGAGAACCGGAGACCCTTTTTACTGGAAACGAGGCATTCCATCTTAGTCCTCACGGGTGACAACGCATCTGCATTTTGATTCGTAATCGAGGATAGATGTAGATGTCTATGGGCTGTGTATGACAGGTGGACTGTGTGCTCGTTTGTCACCCTTATCCTATAAAAAAACCGCAAATAGCTATGCATTATACACATTAAGTTCGTAATCACAGATGTCAGTATCAAAACTCGATGACACTAATAATTACGCATCCATTTTCGAAAACCCACAGTTACTATATTTCCAACAATGGTCAAAATAAAAAGTTATCCCTTTGGATTATTTAGGTGTAAAGGCAGTAATAAAACAGAAAAGTAGTATAAAGGTTTTTAATATCTATGTACAAATCAAGTCTTTACAAGATGAGCCGTCCAAATTACGTTATTATCTAAGGATAACGGTGTCCGGCGGCGGCGGATTCCACAATTTTTGCGGGCGCTGCGCGGGCTACAGGGGCTACCGGAGCAGCAGCAGGAGCCACCGCCAAACGCGCTGGAGCATAAGCTGCCGCGACTGGGGCACTGTATGCAGCCACTTGTGCGGTATAGGCGGCCACAGGGGCAGTATACGCAGCATTGGTAGCTACGACGGGAGCTGCGGCATATCGAGCAAAGACAGGAGCAGCTGTGTAACGAGCCGTGACCACGGGAGCGGCAGCGTAGCGGGCGTAAACTGGAGTGGCAGCATAGCGGGCGTAAACTGGAGCAGCAGAGTAGCGAGCGTAAACTGGAGCTGCCACGGGAGCGGCGACTGGTGCGGTGGCGTACTTTGCGATTACGGGCGCAGCAACGGCGGGAGCAGCGAGTGCAGGAGCAGCCACAGCGTAACGAGCAGAAACTACAGCAGGTTGAGCGACTACGGGAGCGGCAACCTTAGCGGCAACGGCAACGGGAGCGGCTGCAATACGAGCTGGCACTACAGCGGGTTCGGCGACTACAGCCGGGGCAGCAGCAACCAAAGGCTCCTTGCGGACGACTGCGTTGAATCCATTGACAGGATCAGCAGCGTAGTCAACGGTACGGCGTGTGCCATCGGGATCCACAAGGGAGTACGAGCCTTGTACGAAATCTCCATCACGCTGCTCCTGCTGGCTTTTGTAGTCCCCAGTTAGGGAGTCAGCAACATCATATCCAAATCTGTACTGCGGAAAGGCATCGTATTCTTCTATTCTTGCAAAAGACGGTGAGTACGCGACCGGTGCCGCAGCCACTGGTGCGGCACCTATGGCAGCTGGTGCACTTGCGTAGGCCAATGCCACGAAAGATGAGAAGATCACGAACTGCAACAATTAAAACAATAATTTAATAAATAAATTTACGTAACTGTAAAAAGACATTGGCATTGTGAACTTTGTTCACGTGATCGTTAAACTATTTTTATCGGTTATTTTTAATGAATTTGCATGTTGAAGTTGAAAATAATGAAATGGTAGATTCATCGATTGATTGGCACAATAACACTTTCTCACGATCACTTTGTAAAAAAAAAACACTTCACGTAAATCCATAGAGTTGTCGTACCTTGAAGACCATTTTGATTGTTTTGCTGTGTTGTGCACAGGGATGCTTGGAGTTGTGAACTGTGCACCCTGTTAGACACTAACAGCATTTATAGTATTCGCGAGTGTTGTTACCTCATCCCGACCGCATCTCCAAATTTAAATATATTCAAGTACGCACGTACAGGCCGGTCCGATGGAATGGCTGGACAATGCCACGTAAACAAAGCGGCTACTTGTGCAACTGGGCCGGGGCTGTAAGACATAGCGGTCACAATGTTTCACTACTAGATTCTCAAAATTACTTCTTTTCATGGGCTGTTTCACACATTATCTTCACAGTTTTATTTACTTATTTTAAGCCTGTGCTTAACTACAATACCACCCGGGATTAATGGTGATGAAGCCATATTATCTAGGTGGTAAATCACATTGTCTTAACGTAAAAAAAGTTATATCTTCAATTACTCTCGCCTTTAAGATAACCAGATGTATGTGTTAAATGCACCCTTATTATTATGATCACGGATATATTCGCAAAGCGAACAAAAATGAAAAATATGAACTGATCATTATTATAGGTATAAACGTTAATCATACCTAGTAATTACTTAGTTTTTTTTTTTACATTCATATGGTTACAAAAATGTCAATTTGCAGTACCACCTCATAAAACATTATAACATATTAAAGGTCGCAAATGAAAATTTAACAAATATAAATCAAAAGTTCTAGTGCGTACCTTCGCCCTATATACACATTTTTTTTTAGAATAAGTGTGACAAACGAGCACACAGTCCACACGATGGTAAGTGGTTGCTGTGGCCCATAGACATCTACATCTATCTTCGTTTGCGAATTAAAATGCAGATGCGTTGTCACCCGTGAGGGCTATGATAGAATGCCTCTTTTCGAGTAAAAAGGGTCTCCGGTTCTCTACACTCACCATACGAAACACAGCAGCATTAAGCTGCTATTTAACGCTGGTATTCTGTGAGAGCGTGGTCCTTCCCTGGTCGAGCAGACCCATTCGTGCTACAACTATACTATTAATATATACTAAAAGTAGTATTTTATGTTAATATATATATATATATATATATATATATATATATATATATATATATATATCTAAAAGTCAACATTTTATTTTTATTTTACAATATAGTTTAAGACTGCTAGTATTCAAAACTATAACCCGTGACTTAGTAGCCACGCTGATCACAACACAGATCACAGCATCTAGTCCACACAGATAGACTCCATACTTACATATATATAAAACTAGAAATTTTATACAAACTTCTATAGAAGCTTATTTTATATTATGAACGATAGAAAATCACAGCTATGCTGTATCAGGCATCGCAGCTGCGTCGTAGCATTTTACTTTTGCTGCAAAAAATATAGTAATAACCAGTTTGTTTTAATATTTAGGAGTTTTGATGATTACAATTAAAAAATGAATACTTCGTTGGATAAATACTTAGAAAGAAAGAGTAACAGAGAAAATGTACACTGCAGAAGTAAGTGGTAAGTGACGTCTTAGACGGAAGTTTGTCATTTCAATATATTGGCGATAATTCGGAAATGGGCCAAATGGAGAATACCTTTAAGCGACGAGCATGTATGCATGGATAAATAGATGTGAAAGATGCAAGAGAGATGTGTCAGGCTCGTGTCTAATAGAAGGCTGTAGTCCCTGTCTACCCCTTTGGGTGACAGGTGTGAGAGTTTATATAATGCTATGATGAATAAATGTTTCATTCTTTCTCCTTTAAGATTCTTATTTATTTTTTATTCTTATTCTTTCTTTAGAATCAAGAAAAATACTCTTGGATCAAACTTTGCTTTACAATATCGGCCATAACAAATTTGATTGTAATGAACTCACCAATCAAATATACATTCGTATACCCAGTCGCTCGAAGCGTATACGTGAGCTTCATTCACATGAAATTTTCTTTCCTAAACCAAGTAGAACAAATGTCAGTGCGTGTGCACCTTTAAATCATATAATGGAACTATACAACAACAAATTAATTGACATAGGATATTGTTGGATTAACTTCTTCCAAATTTAAAAAAGCTGTGTATGAAGTTCTATCTGGATCAGATGCAATTTAATGTAATTGTTTATTTATATTTAATTTAATTATTTACTTCTATGTATTAACTATGTATGTATAGGCGTGCGCATGTACATATATATATACATATATATATATATATATATATATATATATATATATATATATATATATATATATATATATTTATATAACAGTTTGTTTTTCTCTGTATCTACTAGTGAACGGGTCGTTTTAATAGAACATTAAAAAAAAATATTTTTAATTGTTTAGTACACTGACCCAATAGTAATATGTGGATCCTTAGTTTCGTCTGCTTTAAAAAACTTTCGCATAATACATACATATATACTATCAATATAGATGATTATAATAAAAGATTAATAAAATATTAATTGACATACAATAACGAATACTATAACTATCAAAAATTAATTTATGCTCGTGAACAGGTTTCGATTTTAACATACAATTCAACTATGTGGAGTAGGTCATTTGACTGCACATCCTTGACGCAAGGTGAACCTACGTATTACAGCAGCCTGAGCCCAACTTCCGATTAGTAACAAAAAATCCGGAGATAATTGTAAAAAGTTTATTTTTACCACTTTGCATTGGAAAAGACATCAACCTAATGTCCTGTTTATTGTAACAGTAACCGGTAAGTTTTTTAGTTCACCGTTTTGTTGTTAAAAATAATGTTAAAAATGAAGGTAGTCTATCGAAAATCTATTTCACACCAACTTATTTATCCAATAAATGAAACAAATTTTTACGGATTTTATCTAGTTTAATTTAACTTTTTAATTCCCGACGTTTCGCACCCGGGGTCAGGGGGGGACCATGGGAATTAAAAAGTTAAATTAAACGTGATAAAATCCGTAAAAATTAGTTTCATTTAATGTGTAGTCTTCGCGTAAATATAAGAAATCATTATTTAACCAATTCAAATAATTTAATTTTAGTTTAATTTAGTTGAAAGTTATGAAAGTAAGAAAGCACATGTTTATACATTGTTTATTGTGTAAACTGTTTTTATGCTTAGAAGTTCGGGAAAGTAACAAAATATACTAATTTCTCTGAAATTATTCCATATATTGGTAGTAAAATTGATCCTTGTTCACACAGATAAATAAGCTTTAGAATATTACGTGTATATAAAAGTTAAGCAGTTAATTGCAATACGAGAAGAACAATTCTCTAGTTAAAACCTTCATCAGATATAATTATATATATAGTCCTCATGTCGTAATAATTGTTATTATTACGACATGAGGACTATATACTATAGGACGATAATGTATAGCACTACGTATTTTCAATGAGATATTTTCTAAAGGCCAATGTTATAATAAAGAATATTTAAAAGAAAGTTGAAAGTGTGGTTGCTGGATAATTATACGTGTAATTATAGTTAACATTGAGCCGTAGTAGCTCAGGATCTAAGCGCTCGCTGTAAATTTCACAGTACGCGAGCAACCCGGGTTCGATTCGCGCCGGCACCAATGAAAGTATTAATTGCAATTTTTACCAAGTGCTCGGCGGTGAAGAAAAACATCGTAAGGAAACCTGCATATCTTAGAAATAAGAAAAAATATATTTCGAAGACATGTGAAGTTGTGAAGTTCGCCAACACGCATTGGGGCAGCGTGACGGACATTTCCTTGCCATAAAACCTTTTCTGTAATGAGAGGAGACCTGTGTTCAGCAGTGGGACGCATATAGGCTGTAACTTTAACTTAACTTTAGTTATAACTAATGTTTATAAGTTTAATTATTTATAAGTTTGATGACAATGAAGTATGTAAATAACACTAATAAGTTTAAATTTTATTTTTCTATTTTAAGTTTAAATCATTCATATCATCACCCACATACATAAGATGTAAGTGGGTGATGTTACAGTTAGGCCTACAGTTAGGCCAAATTAGTTTATGAAACAACCGACTTTATTTATAAGTAATAAAATATAAAAAGGAGATTTTATGCATAAAAATAACACCATTGATTATTCTTTACTATTCTACTATATTTTTTTCGCTATATGATAATACCTTTACTGTCATGGGAATGCTGATAAATATTATTAGCCTACCGATTTCAAATTATAAGACTATGTATGTATAATATATGTATTTTATTTTATGGTAGTATTAGCAGTATTTTATAGTTCTTGGATTACAATACATTTGAAAAGTTTAATATTTATCAATACATATAAATAAAATTGAAGAGTCTGTTTGTAATATCGAAAGAACTGCCCTATACTGAGCTCTTTTTTGTCTGGCTATATTTTAGTTGAAAAACTTAAATATTTTTTTGTGAAATTGAAAAATTTATAAATAAATTGTTTTATAAATGATAATCTTCTGTCTCTTATATTATATTTGCGGGCTGCTAGTAGTAAAAAAAAACTAATAATATAAGTTGTAATGTAGTACGGGTGTGAAACAAGCACATAGATAATTAGACGATAAGTGGATGATGTGACCCAAAGACACGGCGTCTATCCTACTTAACAAAATACAGTAAATGCTGTTATTTTACGCTGGTGTTCTCTGAGAGCGTGATCCTTCACCGGTCGAACCAAGATAATACGGCTGCAGCGTGGCTGTACCATGTGTAAGTTTAATTAAACCACAACTACCATATAATAGAAGTATTACATCTATATTTATATATAAAATAAAAGTTTATATCTGTAATATCGAACTAACTGCATTATATTGAGCTGCAGCTATATTAGTAGTATAGTTCCACACTCTCACAGATAACCAGCGCTAAATAGAAGCTTAACGCTGCTGTGTTTCGTATGGTGAGTGTAGAGAACCGGAGACCCTTTTTCTGCCGACTTCCAAAAAGGAGCCGGTACTCAATTCGACTGTATGTTTTTTTTTTTTTCGTTTTTTTTTTTTTTTTTTTTTTTTTATGTGTGTTACCTCAG